TTGAAAGGCAATATTTACAGTGCTCAATAGTAAGAGCTTTGGAGTCAAGTATATTTATGCACTGATTTGCTTTCATGACTCTGAGAGTTATTTAGCACAGGTAGTGAGTTTTCTCACTTGATTGTTCACAGTCAGTTACAGATTGAACTCCTTGTTCTTCTACTTTCCCCCTTCTCACTACTGCACTCGACTAGTCTTTAAAAAAACAGAAAAGAAAAAGAGAGGTGTGGCCCGTGTCCTCATGGAGCTTACATCTCAATGAAGGAGACAGATCTGGACTAATGTATGGGCCGGGCGCGGTGGCTCACACCTGTAACCCTACCACTCTGGGAGGCTGAGGCGAGCGGATCGCTCAAGGTCAGGAGTTCAAAACCAGCCTGAGCAAGAGCGAGGCCCCGTCTCTACTATAACCACAAAGAAATTAATTGGCCAACTAATATATATAGAAAAAAGTAGCCGGGCATGGTGGCACATGCCTGTAGTCCCAGCTATTCAGGAGGCTGAGGCAGTAGGATTGTTTGAGCCCAGGAGTTTGAGGTTGCTGTGAGCTAGGCTGACACCACGGCACTAGCTTGGTCAACAAAGCAAGACTCTGTCTCAAAAAAAAAAAAAAGGTATGGATGTAGGTAGCTAAGTGCTACAGAAAGTAACATGAGCATATTATAAATCATCCTACCCAGTTGGTCGAAGAGGTGGTCATAAAAGGCTTTTCCTTCACATAAGATGAGGTTTAAAGGATAAGGAGGAGTTATGGAGGCAAAAAGAGAGGGAAAAACCATTCCAGGGAGAGGGAATGGTAAATTTGAAGAGGCATGCATGTTGAGGAAACAAAAAAAAAACCTAGTATGGCTGAGGTCTCATCAAATGTTGTGGGGGTTAAGTGAGATAGCAGATGGTTCTGGTTATCTACTGGTAATAACAAATCACCTCCAAATTAGTGGCTTTAAACAATAATGTTTAGTTTGCTTATGAATCTGCAATCTGGGTGAGGCTCAGGGAAGACATCTCACCTCTGCTCCACTCAGTGTTAGCTGTCGAAGGAGAAAGACAGAAGGACCCAGGCAGAAACTCTACTGCCTTTTTGCAACTTAGTCTCAGAAGTCTCTTAGCATTTTTCTTCTTTTATTCTCATTCTCCCCCTTCTCCTCCTCCTCCTTTTTCTTCTTCTTTTTTGAGGTCTTGCTATGTTGCCCAGGCTGGTCTTGAACTCCTGGCCTCAGTGATCCTCCCACTTCAGCCTCCTAAAGTGCTGGGATTACAGGCATAAGCCATGGCACCCAGCCCTTAGCATTACTTCTGCTATAGTCACTGACACACCCAGGTTCAAGGCAGGGACCATAGGTATCAGCTTACCATAGAGGAGTATCAGCCTCATATCATAAGAAGAGTGTGTTTAATGGGATATGTTGGTATATTTGTTATATAATGGTATATACCATTTGACATATAATGGTGTAGTGGTGTAAAATATATTGGTATATTTTTGGAAAATGTAACCTGCTCAAAGATATAAAGTATTAGCAGAATGTATATTCACAGTTTGTCTTAGAAATATTACTTGGTATCTTAGAAATATTACTTGGTATTATAAACATTATGAACACTACCATCACCCAACTGCCTCACCCTTACCACATACCTACAATTTTGTTACTTTATTTGAGTTATACAGAATTGGTGCACATTTAAATTTTTATATCCACTGAAATAACATATTTTACAAATTGGGAACCATAGGTTCATGCCATTTACTAGACACTTGGCATATGATAGAAATATTGTTGTTATTATTCTATATAGTCTGTCTTTCTTACTAGTCGGCCTTCAGGGGTAAGGAGTGGCTTTTCTTTTGGGTCATTAAATATGAAATGTCCAATTTCAAATCAAAGTGTAGTTTATTATATCTCAAACAAGAAGCAGTACAATTAATCAAAGTATGTGCCTAAACTATTGACACAGTTTTGCCATCTTAACAGTAGCTTGTTTATGTCAGCAGCAAAGACGCTTGGAAAGCAAGTGGCCATGAAATTGTGAAAGGCGTTTTCCACAGCTTGTTGAGAACTGAATATTTTCCTTGCAAGAAGTGACCCAAAGCCTGGAAGAAGTGGTAGTCAGTTGGCGCAAAGTCTGGTCAATACAGTGGATGACAGAGAGCTTCCAAGGCCAGCCTCTGTAGTTTGAGCAGCATTGTTTGTGCGACATGCAGTCAAGCATTGTCTTGCAAGAGGATTGGCCTGTCTCTATTGACCAATCTTGGCTGTTTAATCACAAGAATCCTCATTATTTTGTCCAGCTGGTTGCAGTAGACACCTGCTGTAATGGATTGACCAGGTTTCATGAAGCTGTAGTAGATAATACCAGTGCTGGACCATCAAACAGACACCATTAACCTTTTTTTGTGTTTGATGAATATTCGGTTTTGGACTGTGTTTGGGCATTTCATCTTTATCTAATCATTGTGCTGAATGCTTGTGATTGTCAAAAAGAATCCATTTTTCATCACATGTAACAATATGGTATAGAAATGGTTTGCCTTTATGTCATGACAGCAAAGAAAGGCAAGTTTTGAGAAGAGTATCTCTTCTGATGCTCATTTAATTCATGTGGAGCCATCTATCCAGCTTCTTTGCCTTGCTGATTTGTTTCAAATTGTCCCGTATTGGTGGAGTAGTAACATCAAACCTTGCTAATTCACATGTAGGTTGAGATGGATTTGCTTCCTCTACAGCTTTCAGCTCATCATTATCTACCCTGGTCTTAGGTCCCCCATGTGGCTCATTTTCAAGATTAAAATCACCAGAATGGAACTTCTCAAACCATTTATGTACTGTGCGTTCATTAGCCACATCCTTCCCAAACACTTTGGTGATATTTTGAGCTGTTTGTGCTGCATTGGTTCCAAGACAGGACTCATATTTCAAAACAACACCAATTTTTTATTTATCCCTGGTTTCACAAAAATTGCTCTTTAAAAATGTAAAAGATAACCACAAGCCAAAAAACATGTGTTTGAAAGACTAAGGATGTATCTTTACAATAAAAATAAAACAAGAGGTGTCAAAGTGAAATGTCAGAAATAGCAACTGTCAAACTTAGTACTTAAGGAAATCAGAAATTTCATACTTAATAACCTATTAATAATACATATCTGTAACCCTGATGACTAGGACAGTGCCCTGCCCAGTGCAGACACTTAATAAATATTATGGTTTTTATTGTTGTTGAGCTATAATTGCTAACTTGAGATTGCCTGATCAGGTAGGTTTTCTATCCTGTATTAAATTGTTTTTAGTTCAGATCATGTGATCCATTCCTAACATATATTTTCTATTTACTCTTTTTCAATAACTGCTGTCTCAAAGTGAAAATGGAAATCTTTGACTGAATGGATTGGTAGCAACAGATCTGAAATTCTTAGAAATGTTGGAAACAGAAGCTACTTCCCACACAATCCATGAAGGGAGATAGGAGAGAGAGAGAGGGGGACAGGAGAGAGAGAGAACTGGGTCTTATAGAGTGACAATTGCCACCCAGTTCTAGACCCTCACAAGGTTTGTGGCTTTGGGTCCTGTACCTCTCTTCCTCTTATGTATGATGGGGCTAATAACACTGCAGCACCAAAAGAGTAAAATGAAACAACAGACAAGAAGATACTAGGAATGGTAGAAAAATGCTAATAACTATCAAATATGGGTAGAAAGGAAACTGGATACAAAGTACAGGTGTGTTTGGTTTTATTAATAATAAATAAAAGATCAATATATACATTTCAGATATTTACCAAAAAAGGAACTGCTTGACAAAATAATTCAATATAGTATAATATTAAATTGTGAGGCTTCCTATTGCTTTAAATTTTTTGAGTAAATGTTTTTACTGAAGTATAATCTGCACTTTGGAGTAATTGAATTTACCATAATTTAACTTACCTTACAGCTTTTCAAGATAACATTCACTACATTGGTAAAGTGAGGATGTATCTAAAATTTACTGTCAGGGGTAGAAGGGGCCTTGAACTGATAAAGATATTATTATCTACTGTTTAGGGCAAAAGATGTAAAATGAGTGTGCATTAAGCGCCAAGCTTTTCTCTAAAAAGAACCCGCTGTAAAAGCCATAAACATGCCAGTTCAATTCAACAAATATTTAATTAGCACTCGTGATTTCCAAGGTACCATGTGGGATCTGAGGAGGAAGCAAAGATGAATAGCTCATGCCAGACACATGTAACTAGACTGGGAAGCAAAGTGGGGCGTCATGATATAGGAAAGGCAAAACACAGGAAGAACCTGCTGGAGCTTAAAATAACTTAACTTTTCTTGCCTTTTTTTTTTTTTTTTTAAGACTCTATTTTGAACGTCTTTTCACATGTGCTGGGTCGCTTGTCAGCAGAGAATCCGCGACCCTGTGAAATCTCTCCTCCTTATTCTTTCTTTCCTCAAAAATTCAATGAGCTCTTCTGCCATCAGCACTGCTTTTGGAACGATATCTATTGTGTGGGTGGTGAAAAGATGGAAAGTTATTTTTGTTCTAATTATGAGAACTGTTTTACTTGGGAGGGGGGCGCTGATCTGAGGCTGAGATGCTCCGCGAGGATGCTTTCAGGAGGCGTTACTAGGTTACTAGAGAGAGGACGGCAGGTGATAGGCAGCAGTTTTCCTAAAACAAAATGTATTTTCAAAGTAGAGGCGTGGGCAGAGCGGCGATCAGTGCCACACGGTACTACATGCTGCATTCCCTAGAGAGGAAAAGAAAGAGGCCCAGGAAAAACTGGGGGTTGTGCCTTGGGGAAAGCAAGAAGCCTCTGCTTCCCCTTCCGGGCCGTTTCTTCCACCGCCCTTGTTTCCCGGAGCTGTTCTGACTGTAGCACAAGGTCGGCGCGCCCGAGGACGGTGGTATTTAAGTGTGACACGCATCCCAGTTGGACCGGAAGCAGCGCCCAGTCGGGACCCGTAGGGAGAGGCGTGGGACGGGCGGCGGCGGCGGCGGCGGCGGTGAGGCTGCGCGGCCGGGGCGGACGGGGCAGGCCCTGCAGCGGCTCGCTCAGGCCGTGGGTCGTCGCTGCAGCTACCTAGAAAGGAGGAAACGACGACTCCAGGGGCGAAGTTGGCAGAGCAGGGAGGAAGGGAAGGAGTGTGCGAAGTGGGCCGTGGGTATATTTGGCGTCGGGGAGAAGGACCTCAAAACTCGTTCCTAATATACTGCTAGTTGGTTATAATTTTTTTTCTTTTTGGATGACAGATCTTGGAGACACCCGGCGTGTCCTTTCTCGAGTTTCTCTCGACTCTTGTCTGTTGCTTCGTAGCCTGAAGTGAGTGAGAGCTTTTTAGTTCAACCACTGAGTTAACATAGGTATGGGATGGGTGAAGCGGCCAGAGAAAAAAGAAATGGGAGAGTGGGTGCAAGGGCAGGAAGTGGTGTCTAGGGGTGAGGGAACAACTTGATGCTGATGCTGACAGTAAACATTCACAGGGTTGTACTGTGCCAAACTGTTGTAAAACCCTTTAGATGTGGTAACTCAATCTCCATTCCTGTGAGGTCAGTAATCTTACTAGCTTCATTTTCTCAGTACGGAAACTGAGGCTCAGGGAGGTTAAAGGAACAGTCCTAATGAAAGGCAGATGAAAAGTGCAGAGCCAGGCTTTGAATTCTGGTAGGCTGATCCCAGTGTGTATTCCTAAACTCCATATTATGATTGTCCCCCATCAAAATGTGAAGAAATTGAAAACATAGGACAATAAGTGCCGAGGATGGTATGGCTGGAACAAATTTGATAGGACAGTTGGAGTCCACCTCATAAAGGGTGGCTGGGCTCTTTCTCTGTACAGAATTCAGTGGGACAGGGAAGAGAGGTACACACCCATACACCTAAGTTTGAAAATAGAATGAATTATAGAAAGATCACAGACTTTAAAGATTTAAAGAATGTAAAGATTATTTCATGTAGTCACCTTGTTTAACTGTTGTTTAAGGACATGAAGTGAATTAAAGGTAGCCAGGACTAGAAACATTCTTCTATCCTAGATCCAATTCAATGAAGTTTAGGGAGTTCTTTCCTCTTTTTCCTTCTGTACTTGCTGTGGTGAATATTAACATTTTTAAAATTTGGTATATCATTTAACTTGGATTGGTTCCTTCCAGCCATTGAATTTGTTATTTATGACATTGAATAGTCACATAATCCATCCATTCCCCCATTAATGTGTACCCTGAATGCAATGTAATGCTGGAACCAGGAGTTTCTTCCAAAACAATTGAGTGACAACTGAGGTCTTTCAGCATTTCTAAGAATGTCAGTTTAAAAATGAATTGAAACAAGATAAAGCTGACTAAGCCAAGGACAAGATAGTTTATCTTGAAGAAACTTAAAAGAAAATGGAAATCTTTACCCATGCTGAAAAAGATAACAGGAGAATTTTCATCAATTGGTAGTGTACCATTCACAAATACTGTAATTCTGATGGAATGTAGCTAATCATATTCTGGAGAGGCAATTTGGGGTTATTGAAATTGTGGCTTAAGAATCAAATAGATCAGTCACTACCTTGCTTTGTAAAACTGATTGACTTAACTTTGTCCTTGATTTGTTCATCCCTAAAATGGAGATAGCCGGGTTCTAACTTGCAGAATTAGAAACATTGTTTGTAAAGTACTTAGCACAATGTCTGGAATAAAATTGATGATAAATACTCAGTAACTGTAACTGCTCTGAATCAAATAAAAGTGAAGTCTTGGTGAACCTTGTACACAGTCACTTTGCAGCTTCTAGCCATGGTTTTCAGTAGAAAAAATCAAAGAATAGCCCCGTTTGTTATTCCAATAATAATTAAAGGTGAAAAATGTTGATACATTTTTTAAAGTATAAGTCTGTTATTTCAAAATGAATGAAAGTTTTAGATAGTCAGATAGCCCATGAACAGTGATCTGCTCACCATGGTCCTTTAAAACTATTGTGAATGTTTAAGATAACTTAGTTTTGAACTAATCTGTTTCCTGAACAATTGGCAACTTAGGTTCTGAATAGCTGACTTGATACTCCTGTACAGATGCATGGTCATGGCGGCTATGATTCTGATTTTAGTGATGATGAACACTGTGGAGAATCAAACAAAAGGAAAAGAAGGTAAGTAATGTTTTTATTGATCTGTGTTTCACATCCTTTTTAGATTGATATGAGGTACAAATTAATATTGAAAGTTTTGAATTATGTTTGCATGTGAATACAACAGCTCTCATAAATGAATTTTTGTTTATTAAGCTGTAATAGATTAATTCTAAATTGGATAACAGTTGTGGGAAAAATAAGAAAATGTTTATGCTGTAGAGGGGTTTATTGAAAGGGAAGGGAATGAAAGGAAAGAAATTGCAGGTTTTAGATTTCTCTGTTGCATATATTTTTCATGCAACTGCCAAGGTCTGTTTACTTGCAGATGTCATAGCTCAGAATGCTTGTTGGTCTTGATTGTTGGTCTCTTGCTAGTACTTGCCTTCAAAGTGAGGTTAATGTGGAAAATGAGAATATACTGCAGCACAATTCTTACAGCTACATGAATGAGCAGACTAAGTGGTCATGGGAAGCAGCTCATGGAAGGTTTTGTGAATTGTAAGGGGCAAGAATCATTAGCACATGAAGTCTGGACACTGTAAGAAGGCTGCATCTTGGCAAAGTCGCTGTGTTTAGGGGTATTCTCAGCCTTCAGCGCTTAGCAACTCAATTTTATACATTAACTCAGGGGTAGTTGACTGATTTATACTAACCAAACTTACATATCAAGCTGTTGCCTGATTCATACTAACCAAATATATACAAATGGGTTTATTATGTCACACTGAGAAAGATTTGTTAGGCATTCTAACTGAGTCTGAACATTTGTATAAGATTCTCAGTCTTCATGGATAACCGAAAGAATGGGAATAATTAAATTACATTTTATGGTGCTTTATGTTTTCTAGATTTTTCATTCAGAAATACTACTTTGTAAGAATAGAATTTGAGAAATCTAGTTGGATGCTCTAAGGTTATATTTATCTGTATAACTAGAGCTGATTATCGTCTATGTTCTCTCTAATCAGCCTTTCTTTGTCCATATTATTAATTACCAAAAGCTTTCTTATCCCTATTTTGCAAACAGGAAAATTAAGACAGAGAGTTTAAATATTAATAACTTAATCTTATTAAGGTTAAGGTAGTAAATGGCAGAATCAAGATTTGAACCAGGAACCAAGGTAGTCTAGAACCCATGCTTTTATTAGTTTCATTTTCTCCCTTTTATATATATTAAATAAAGTTAAAGTATTAATTAAGTTATGTAAGGAAATGTAAAATGTCTCATTAAAGATCAGTGAGTTTTTTTTAAGACTTGTATTCTTTAAAATATGTTCCAATTATGAAAATATAAAGAATTAGAAAACAACCTTTGAGAAAAATTAACTTTTATATATTTTTTTTCTTATTATACCAGGACAATTGAAGACGATTTACTGCTCAAAAAACCATTTCAGAAAGAAAAACATGGAAAGGTGGCCCATAAACAAGTTGCAGCAGAATTGCTGGATAGGTATGATATTTCAATATAAATGACATTCTTTGGTTTAAGATGTTTTATAAACTTAGGGACTATGGGATTTGATCATATTAGGTGGAATATAGGCTTTTAAATTTGTTTAAAATTTGTTTTAACAGGGAAGAAGCAAGAAATAGAAGGTTTCATCTCATAGCTATGGATGCTGTATCCTTTTTATATTTCTAGAATTTTATAACTAGTAGAATATTTTTAAATTTTTTATTTCATAAAATCTTATGAAGTCACATAGGCCTTTTTATTTTAAATATGTGTTTGTTTATGTAGGATTTTGCCATTTATACTTTTGGGTATAATTCTCTTTTACTAATATGTAGGAAAGATTTAGAGATCAAAATAATGAAACATATTACTAGTAGTCTGTTTGTAGGTTTACAAAGTCTATGAACCTGCAGATATTTTTTCCAACTTGCTTTTTTCAAGCTTTCAACACTTCTTTTTTATATTTCTCTTTAATCTCATTTTAATTTATTCCCTTCCTACCTAGTTCTTGGTTATTTAAGTTCTCTACAGAATTTATATTTGAAATTAGATCTTTCTGTGGACTGTCCCCAGGCCAGCTGTTGCTTTAATTTTCAGACATGACTTGAAGCTATATACCCTGCCTCTCTGTTTTAGCTATGTTTCAACTCAGTTTTTCAGTAAGACTATGGCTCATGATACTAACTGCTACACTGGCCATTCATATTACTCTTGGGAATATTGAAGAATGAAAGACAGGCCTGAAGTACTTCTGGGTATTTATTGTTGTGGTCACAATTGGGAGAAGGAGACAATGTAATTTGATACACCCACTAACTGTAGTCATGTGTTTCATGTTGTCATTTTTCTACTATTTTTGTTTTAAGTTATGGAAGTACCATGTGTCACTAATTTATTCTTTTTGTCTTCTAACCCAATAGCTTAGCTTTCCTGTGACTCTCATCTGCCAGTTGTTCCTTTTAACATTTAAACATCTGCTCTGCCTTCTCTGATACCACTGCACTGGACATTGGAGCACCTAGTTACAACCTGGTGACTCTCACTCTGGTCAGAGTACAAGTCTATGTACTCCTTTTCTGGTGTAGATGACAGTTGGGGATACCATTTATTTCTGAAGTGTTTGGCCAGAATAGAGTAGTTATTGTCTGAAAGTTATTGAGCTTGCTATGCTGACTCTTTGTCATTTGGTTAGAGAAAACAGGCTTTTATTGAGGCTTTTTTAGTCTGCGCCTGTTGGTGTTACCAGGTTTCCAGCTTCTTTATCTCCAAATCTGGGATATATGAGACAAAAAGAAAACTTTGGGTACCCATCACCATGTCATACCATAGGTCTTGAGGTCCCAACCTAGTGTGCCTTCTCTTCATCTTTCAGAGTTATCTTATGTTTGTTATATATATAATGTCCAAAATTTTTAGTTGATGGTAGTGTGAGAAATAGGAAGAAGTACCTCTTTGTCTGCACCATCTTCCTGGAAGCAAAAAAACTACCCACCATCTCTTCTTGCACATAAAATTATATTGGAATACAGCTGTGCTTCTTTGTTTATATGTTGTCTGTGGCTGCTTTCATGCTATCATGGCAGAGGTAAGAATTTGCAACAGAGACCATATGGCCTGCAAAATCTGAAATATTTACCACCTGGCCCTTTACAGAAAATTTGCTGACCCCAGCTCTAATGGATTAAGCAGCTTGCCATGGTCATGTGACCAGTTCGTGGTAGATCAAAAGCTAGAACCCAGATCTCCAGATGTCTGGCTTTTCTCTCTCTCTTTCTCCCCACCCCAGAATGGTAACTGCTTTGTTAACAGTTTGGACATGTCATATTCTCATTAAATACTCTATTAGAATACATTGTGATCAGTTAAATCACTATATCTGTTTAATAGGGTGTTGTCACAGACAGTATTATAGAAGGTGAAGTCAGCTCTGTTATACATATGTTTGGCTGTAGAGAGAGTGCCATTGAGCTTTTTAAAATAAAAAGTAAAATGCCACATCTTGTTAATACTGCATTGAAAATAAACATGGTTGTGGATTCTTTGAATATTAAAAGAATGTATTAAAAATTCTGATTTTTTTTTTATTTTTTTTATTGAGACAGAGTCTTACTCTGTTGCTTGGGCTAGAGTACGGTGGCATTATAGCTCACTGCAACCTCAAATTCCTGGGCTCAAGAGATCCCCCTGCCTCAGCCTCCCTAGTAACTGATATTATAGGCACATGCCACTATTCCTGGATAATTTTTCTATTTTTTTTGTAGATATGGGGTCTTGCTATGTTGCCCAGGCTCATCTCGAATTCCTGGCCTCAAGCGATCCTCTGGCATTGGCCTCCCAAAGTGCTAGGATTACTACCATGAACCACCACGCCCAGCCACATCTGACTTCTTATGTTTGCTTTTTTTTTTTTTAAAAAAAAGCCTAATGTTAGGATATAATATTATAAAATTTACATTTTCTATTTAGAGTCTTTACCATTATAGAAATAGCTAAATTACATTTTCTAATAATGAAAGATAAATTAAATTCTCCTTAACTTTAATTTTAGAAACTGTAATTTTTAAATTTTTTATTGTGATGAATGGTTTGAGGCTTTATGTAGTTCAACAATAGACTAGGAAGCTCTCTTTCTTTCCAGATGGAGATATATTTTGTCACAAGAGTAGTATATGCTTGAAAAATATTCACAACATTATGAACAGTATTCAGTAGAAAATAAAAGCCCTTCTCTATTTTACAGTCTTCACTCTTAACAGTTTACTATGAACCCGTCTAGAATTTGTGAATGTATAAGCATGTATAGTTCATATTTGCATATTTTTAAAAAGCTAAATATACTCATTATGCTTTTTTTTCTCTCAGTAATATATCATAGCATTGACCAACTCCTAAGACAATATAATCCTTAATTTTTTGCGTTTCAGTATCAAAGACATACAAAATTTGTAAATGACTATATTTTATACTATGGTGGCAAAAAAGAAGATTTCAGGCGTTTGGGGTAAGTATAAAGTTTACATAGAGTGGGTGGTGGTAGAAAGACTTTAAAGACCCACAGCTACTTTGTCTTGTGATTCTGCCACTCTTCCCCTGCTCTCTTTTCCAGTTTCCTTTTTATATCATGAGGTAGAGATGCCATCCACAGCTTTTAGCTAAGTAGCTCTTCATGAATCCCATTTCTTTGGACAGGCCTCAGATGGCCTCCTCACCTGCTGAGTCTGGTACAACCCTGACATTAACAGGGTATGTGAGAAATACTCATGTGTCTTATTGGCAAGAATCTTTGAAATAAGGAAATTTTTAGACCTTAATGTTTGGGATTGCTTTTTGAAAGTTAGGGAAAACAAGAAACCTAACTCTAGCATTTCCTGCACTTGAAAGTCCTTCCTAAGGACTTTGATGCTCTTCTATCAGAGGCTCTCAGTTTTGTGTTAGTTTTTTTTTTTCTCTGAGTTAACAATTTTATGAACTGGTACGGCCCTGAAAAACTTTCGTACCATCTCATCTACCTAAGTTTATCTCCCCTATCAATTTAGCTTATATCTCCCAATAGTCAATTTTTTCTACATCTAAACTATTGGTATCTTATCTTGAAAGATCAAACCCTTCATCTCTCTTCCTCCCTTAGTCTTCCTAGGGAACTGTAGTAAAACAAGGTATGGAAAACGTCCATATTTTTTTGAATTAAATCTCAATGGAGTAGTGTCACTTACTTTGGGTTAGATTCTAAAACTTATTTTCATTCACTTTTCTTTATTGATTTAGTGTTTATTCAGGTTTCTCATCCTAGGTTTGGTAATGTAGCACCATTGTATATAATTGAAACCACTGCTAGAGATAGATTCGTTATCCATTTAACTTGCTTCTGTAGCAGCACTCTTTTTTCTTAATTTAATTTTTCTTCATTAACATAATTGTACATATTTATGAGGGTATATATGTTTTGATACATATATGGTGATCAGATAAAGGTAATCAGTATATCCATCATCTCAAACATTTATCATATCTTTGTGTTGAGAATATTCGATATCCTTCTAGTTATTCAAAACTATGTAATATTAATATATTATTGTTAACTATAATCATCCTACAGTACCATGGAACTGTAGAACTTATTCTTCCTACCTATCTGTAATTTTGTATCCTTTAACAGATTTCTCCCTATTCCTTCCTTCCTTCTACCCTTCTCAGCCTTTAGTATCCTCTGTTCTACTTTTTACATCTATGACAAACTTTTTTTAGTTTCCCCAAATGAGTGAGAACATGCAGGCAGTGTTTAACTTTCTATTCCTGACTTATTTAACTTAATATATTATAATGTCCTCCAATTCTGTCCATGTTGCCATGAATGACAGGATTTCATCCTTTTTTATGGCTGAATGGTATTCCGTGCTATATATATGCCACATTTTCTTTATTCATCTGTTGTTGGGCACCTAGGTTGATTCCATATCTTGACTATTGTAAATAATGCTGCAATAAACATGGGGGTGCAGATGTCTCTTTGGTATACTGATTTCCTTTCCTTTGGATAAATTCCCAGTAGTGGGATTGCTGAATGATATGGTAGTTCTATTTGTAGTTTTTTGAGGGACTCCCATACTGTTCTCCACAGTGGCTATACTAGTTTGCATTCCCACCAACAGTGTATAAGAGTTCCCTTTTCTCCACATCCTTGCTAGTATTTTTTTTTCTTTTTGATAGTAACCTGGAGTGAGATGATATCTCACTGTGGTTTTGATTTGCATCTCCCTGATTATTAGTGATGTTGAGCATTTTTCATATACCTATTGGCTATTTGTATGTCTTCTGAGAAATATCTTTTCAGATCATTTGCCCATTTTTAAACCAGACTGATTTTTTGCTGTTAAAATGTTCCTTTTATATTCTGGATATTAATCCCCTGTCAGATAGTTTGCATATATTTTCTCCCATTCTGTAGATTGTCTCTTTCACTCTGTCAGTTGTTTCCTTTGCTATGCAAAAGCTTTTAAATTTGATATAATCCCATTTGTGTATTTTTGTTTTTGTTGCTTGTGTTTTTAAGGTCTTATTATGTTCTTCTAATAGTTTTATTGTTTCAGGTCTTATATTTAGGTCTTTGATCCATTTTGAATTGATTTTTATATAGGATGAGAAGTGAGAGTCTACTTTCATACTTACGCATATGGATATCCAGTTTTCCCAGCACCATTTATTGAAGAGACTCTCCTTTCCCCAAAGAGCATCCTTAGCACCTTTGTCAAAGATCATTTGGCTATAGATATGTGGATTAATTTCTTGGTTCTCTGTTCTTTTCTATGGGTCTATAAGTCTGTTTTTATGTAGCAGCACTCTTTATGAGTACCTTTTGAAAATACTGAAATAGTTTTCGTAAATATATGTACATATATACTCATAAAACTATCTTTATCTTCATGTATTATATCTTTATTCAATTTTTCAAAAATCTCACAGAACTGTTTAACCTTCTAAATTTGACTAATTGTTTTTATATAAAATGAAAATAGTTTTATCTTCCAGGGAAAATGACAAAACAGACTTGGATGTCATACGAGAAAATCATAGATTCCTATGGAATGAGGAGGATGAAATGGACATGACTTGGTAATTTTAGCCATCAGATGTGTAATGTATCAAATGCTTTAGTCCTCTTTCACCCATTCTCTGCGTGTTTTCTTGTCACTTATCTAAGATATTCATCTCCTTCATAGGACAGTTCTGAATTGAGGACAAAAAATTATGCCTAGGATTATTGAATCTGGTTTGATTCCTTTGGTAATTTTTGACAGTTTGAACTAACTTTTTATTGCTTAACTTAGTCTTTTAAAAATAACATTTTTTATTATATTACGGTCATCTCATAATATGCCATTATATTCTTCATTTTTTGGGAAAAAGTAATACCTGAAAATGGTTTTAAAAATCCAAACATTACAAAGGGTAAAAAGTAAAGATTAATTCTTTTTCTCATTTGTGACCATCAGTCCTCCAGTTTTCCTCCCTGAGAGAACCACTATTAAATGTTAATATCCAGATATTTTATGTACATATAAGTAATAGGCCTCTTTTAAAACATTGATATTTATGTCATATGTGTTATTTATTTGACATTGCTTCCAAGTAGCAAACTATGGTTGGATTTCTAAATGTATAATATTTATATTTTTTATGGACCTAGGGAGAAGAGACTTGCTAAGAAATATTATGATAAGTTATTCAAGGAATACTGCATAGCAGATCTCAGTAGATACAAAGAAAATAAGGTATGCCTTCACATATTTATAGGAGGAGGTTCTTATTCAAGTATAATATTAATTTTTATTATGATATCATGCCCCACAGTATTCTTTTAAAGATGCTAATTCTAGTCTAAGTTGTCCTGCATCTATGAGGTATCATTTGTACCATTTAACCTCTGCAGTTTACAGAGGGCCTATGGAATTTATAAAGGACAAGAGTGCTTTTTTTTCTTTGTTAGCTGAGGCATGAAAATTCTAAAATTAAACACAAGTGGCTACTGGATCCTATTTCATCCTGACTCTAGTGATCATAATGAACAATTTAACACTGTAGAATGATGTTTTGTTGCACAGATGATGTTTGAAATTGATAGATTTTTAAAAATTGATTACCATTTATAGTGAGACAGATGCACATCTTCTGTTACATAAATATATGCCTATTCTGGTAAAATGAACTTTTCAATCAGTGCTAATTAGTAATGGCAGATTTCCTTTTCCACTTTACATCTTTAGTTAATATAAGAGTTATTTTTATTCCTAGCTCAGACTTCAGATTATATCTGGAGAAGGTGACCCAGGAACAGATGATCTCAGTTGGAAATGTGAGAGGGTGGAATGTTGCATAAATATGTATGTTATGGATAGTGTATATTTGTACTATATTAAGAAAGATAACCTATTTAAAAAGCTATCTCAAATTTATATATCATAATGATTTCTTTTTCATTTAAATAGTCTGATCTCATTAAAACCCAGGATTGGTTTAATAATGTTTTGGTAGTACCTTTAATATGTGTGTTGCTTCACAATTTCTTATAGACAGCAGTAATGTTCATTTTGTATAACTCTGTTTATAAACCCATGCACTTGGTGTATCCCCAAAACTTCTCATTTTATTATGAACTAGTTATGGGCTATAGTTCACAGCTGTCATCTCTGAACCAGCTAATTACCTCAGCTAATACAAAAAGCACCACAGCACTTGAAGTTACTATATTGCAAATCAAGTGTGAACATACTAAGTCTTTCTAGGAGTGTGTAACAAAGCAGCTTTTTCAACCCTGGCTCATTTGTAGATTGTTCTTCAGTATTTATTGAAACTGGACTGGGTACTGTGAATTAATATGTGATGACTGCCCTTCAGGAAAAGCTGCAGTCTAGTTGAGGGGAGAAAATATACATAAGTAAAAATTAAATATTTGAATTCTCTATTTTAAAAAAGCATGTTACTACATAGTTTAAAAAGAATAATCTTGAAACAAATTGTATGTTACCATTAGAGCATGGTGACTGGATATGAGGATAAGTGCAAGTAAGAAATCAGATATGAGGCCGCGCGGTGGCTCACGCCTGTAATCCTAGCTCTCTGGGAGGCCGAGGCGGGCGGATTGCTCGAGGTCAGGAGTTCGAAACCAGCCTGAGCAAGAGCGAGACCCCGTCTCTACTATAAATAGAAAGAAACTAATTGGCCAACTAATATATATAGAAAAAATTAGCCGGGCATGGTGGCTCATGCCTGTAGTCCCAGCTACTTGGGAGGCTGAGACAGAAGGATCACTTGAGCCCAGGAGTTTGAGGTTGCTGTGAGCTAGGCTGACGCCACGGCACTCACTCTAGCCTGGGCAACAAAGCGAGACTCTGTCTCAAAAAAAAAAAAAAAAAAAAAAAGAAATCAGATATGACTTAGGTTTTGAGTGTGGATACTGAGAGAAATAGAGAATTTGGAGGGGGATTTTTGGGGGGGGAATATAATGACTTTGGTTTTTGGCATACCATGTTTGAGGTGTCAGAGGAAGTTGGAGTTATGCCTTTGCTTCCTTTGCGAAGATGTGTTTTCTCATCGTTTTATTTACACAAAACAGTGTTTTTTTCACTTAATTAACTGGCTCCTAGCTCAATGCCTAATATATATAGTAGATACTTAGGACATTTTTAGTGAATTTCCATCTTTGCCTTATGCTCTCATTCCTTTCTTTGTTGCTTTTCCCCCTTCTTCATTGAGAATTTAGTTGGATCATTGTATCAATTAGGATTAAATTCAGCTGCAAGGTCAGAGAGCACGCCCCCTAAAACACTGGTTTACATCTAGAAGTTTATTTTTCTTTTACATAAAAGTCCAAGTAGATGGTCATGGAACTTTATGTTGTCAGGAAGTTAGGATCTTTTTCTTTTATTGCTTGCACATGTGACCTCTTTGTGATAGAGGGCAGAGTGAGAAGAAAAGAGGGCTCAGCACCAAACCCTGAGTAACTTCAGCTTTAATCCAAGCTATCAGCAGGAAATTTATATCAGGAAAGAATATAGGAATATATAATTTTTAACTAGTAGGATATAGTTGTTGTTACATTTCTTATTTCTCCATAAGATTGTAACCTTGGTAACAGGTAGTATTTAGTAATCACTTTTTATACTCAGTGGAATGCCAAGCCCAGTAAGTAATTGCTTAATAAGTATTTGTTGAGTAGATTAATGAATGAAAGAGAAAGTTTGGAAACCATTGCTGTTACACATTTGGCTGTGTTCACATCCCAACATATGTTGGATGGCAAGCAATCTCCACATACATATATAGGTTTAAAAATAGAATTACACAGAGTTATTTTGAAAGTTTTATTTCTTTTTGTCCTAGACATGGAGGGTTTTATTTTCGTTGGGTTTTAATCAGAATATTTTGAAATATTTTGAGCCTTCATTTACATTTAAAATACAAAATTGCCAAATTCAAGTAATAAGTGATTTTTTAAAAACAGTGAAGTTAACCAGGCATTGAACACTTTATCTGAATCCTCTCTTGATAGAATAATCCTATGAGATTAAGGTAGGTATTATCCCCATTTTAATACATAAAGAGAAAATAGAGAATTTAAGTAACTTTCCTAAAGTTACAGAGGTAGTTAATGAATGGTAGAGCTTCTTGAATTGGGTACAGATCTGCATGATTCTAGACTGCATTTTTTTGTTTTTTGTTTTAAATAGATTTTAGTTTTTAGAGCAATTTTAGGTTCATTGAAAAATTAAGTGGAGAGTATAGAGAATTCCCACATACCCTGTCCCCATATGCACAGCCTCCCCTGCTATCAACATCCCCTACCAGGGTGGTACATTTGTTATAATTGAACCTACATTGACATGCCATATCACTCAAAGTCCATAGTTTACATTAGGGTTCACTGTCGATGTTGTGTATTGTATAGGTTTTAACAAATGTCTAATGATATGTATCCTCCATTATGGTATAATAGAGAATAGTTTCACTGCCCTAAATATTGTCTGTGTTCCTCATGTTCATTCCTCCTTCCTCTCTAATCCCTAGCAACCAGTGATGTTTTTACTGTATCCATTGTTTTACCTTTTCCAGAATATCACATAGTATGTGGCCTTTTCATATTGTCTGCTTTCACTTAGTAATATGCATTTAAGGTCCCTCCATGTCTTTTCATGATTTGATATCTCATTTCTTTTTAGCACTGAATGATATTCCATTGTCTGGATATACCACAGTTTATTGACCCATACATTTAAGGAAGGACATTGCTTCCAAGTTTGTTGCTTCCAAGTTTTAGCAATTGGAAATAAAGTTGCTGTAAACATCTATATTCAGGTTTTTGTGTGGACATTAGTTTTCAACTCATGTGGGTAAATACCAAAAAGTATAATTGCTAGAGATCAGAGCCTTTAACCATTAAGTTAATCTGAAAAGAAAACTAATCTATTTACTAAAACTATGGTAAATTGTAATAGCATATGAATGTCAAAGGTCTTAAAAGGCAGCAGAGACAGTCATTCTTAGCTAACACACAAAGTTATATTTAAAACTGTGAATGGAAATTTAACCACTTCGGTACCAGCGTCAACTATAGTCTATAGCCCCAGTTGAACGTGCGCAGCGACTTTAGCCGACAGCCATGATATGAAGGCGCACAACAGAGCATCGACTGTAGTCGACAGCCGTGATATGACTTTTCTAATTTTTCACTTATCAAAATAAAATTGTGAACATTTAAAAATAACGTAATGAAAACATATATGTATATGTCACCTATTCTGATTTACATTACAAGTAAAGCTGCCTGCCTGTAAAGTAAAACAAGCTTTCAGTGCTTTGAAGCTTTCCTCATCACACGAGCAAAACAGATTTGTGGTCAATGCACAGCACAAACTATCATGTGGACTATGAGTGCCAGCTGTGGGCAAAGTTTCGTGGCTGATGAGTGCATTATGGAAGTGGTTAATAAGCTTTCACTTTAGGGCTCCAGACTTGTCCCACATCTCTGGTCTAGACTTTACCAATGACAGAAGCCTGAGTTGGATTTTACATCAGGAGAAACTTCTCAGGTTAGGTTGATGAGATCAGAGGAGTGGCTTTTTTTTTTTTTTTTTTTTTTAACTACTGAACCCTGTGCTCCCTTGTAGTATATGGGAAAAGGCTGATTATATCTTTTAGTGAGCCAGAGGAGATCATAGTTATAACAACTAAAAAATAACACTTACTGAGCATTTACTACAGGGATTTAGCACTTTTTTGTAAAGGAACAGACAGTAACTATTTTCAGCTTTGCTGGCCATATGTCATCTGTCACAGCTGCTGAACCCTACTGTTGCAGAGTGAAAGTAGAGAAAGTAGATGTACATAAATGAATATATGTGGTTATGTTCCAATAAAATTTTATTTATAAAAATAAGAGCAGACCTATGTGGCATAGTTTGTTAACCTGTGAACTACTATGTGCTAGTTACTATTCTAAGTGCTTTATATGTATTATCTCATTTAAACCTCCTCACCCAAAGAAGTAGGTACTCATAGCTCTACTTTACTTGTGAGGAAAGTAAAGCAAAAGGAGATTACATTAACTTGCCAATACTATACAGCTGTTAAATGGTGGAGCTGAAGTGTAAACCTAAGTCTGATTCCAGAGTCTGTACTTTTTTGTACTAGGATATACTTCCTCCTTACTATACCGTAACCTCTTTTTTTTCTTGTCAGTGTCATAGAACAGGGTATATAGTTTATTAACTTAGGTATTTTACAGCCTGGCTCCTATAGCTTTTAAGGTATTTTAAAACTAAAGAAGGTTGTTCTTAACAGATAAGTTGGTAATTGTTCAATGTGTTTTCAAGTACCTGGAATCCTGTAAGATGAGAAAAAGTTATCATCATGGGAATTAGGTTTATTTTTTTAGGTTGGTAAGTGTCATTATTGTTGGTTCCATGTTTAGATTTATGTATAATTTAAATGTAATATTTAAATTTGGCATACATTGTAATTTTTTATTATCAGTTTGGATTTAGGTGGCGAGTAGAAAAAGAAGTAATTTCAGGAAAAGGTAATTCTTTTTTTATTAATTTTACTTTTTAATAGGCTACAGCTTATTTTGTTATGTTATTGAAGTCATTAGATAAAATTATTTTTAATATATACAATATATGATTATCTACAGAAATAAAATTAGAGAAGATGTATTCGTGTTACATTACTTCTAATAGTAAAAGTCAGAATATAATGAATTTTACCTTTAGAATTTTGCCTTTAGAACAATTCAATTGAGAATATGTAGAAAATGTTTAAAAAGTTAAAGATTTCGTAACAAGGAAACATTCAACAATTGAATGCTTGATTCTTTCCCTTTCTTTATCAATTTTTGGAATAATGAGTTGGTTTTACTGTATTTCGTCCATATCCACATTTTAAAAGTAGAAATTAAATATTACTTTGAAATAGAATTTTTGGATAGGCTAGTTCTCATTTTGGGAAGTCCCTGAAATTGAGCCCAAATCTAATAGCAAAAGACCAAACATTTGGTAGGTAATTAGTAAATGCTTTTTCTATGCATTCTTATAATTTATTTATTCATAATTTTTTTCTGAAAATTATATATCTCTACACTGTCTCATGTTATAAAATTTGCTCTTATTGAATGATTGCATTTTTAATGTTTATATACATATATACTGTGTAGTTTCTGAAAACTATATAATAGCATTTAGGAAATAATTTTAAACTTTAAACAATCTTTTAAACTGAAAATGAAGGTCATGTTTTTACATGATTAAATATTTATACTATCAATGTGGCTCATACTCATCTTCTATAAATTAGATATGTTTTATATTAGATATGAAATTGGATATACAATAAAACAAACAAAATTAAATAGTAGGAATTTGTTTTCCATAAATAATAAAGGATCAGTCCTGAAAATACTTTAGGGGAGAAAGAAAAAGAATAAGCTTAAAGCTATTTTTAACTTTTCTTGGAGTTACATTTTAGTTTGTGTTCTTATCTAAAATAATGTGTTTTTATGTAAAATAATGAAATATTTATCACAATTTTAAAATTGTGTACTTTTGTTGAATGGGATTTTCAGGTGAGTTTACAATGCTATTTTTTAAAAAATTGATGGACATTCTCTAAATTCATATAAGTGAATGAAGGACTAGTTGGGAAAGGGAGAGAAAGCTACTAATGTGATTTATACAGTTGTACTCTTACTGTTGTTTTAACAACAAAGCCATTACTATAAATGTATAGATTTAATAAAGTATCCATTTGCAAAGAGTAAAAAAGGCTAATTTAAAAATTAGCCTTTTGTATGATAATTTTCTATATTTATTTTGATAATTTCTTAACATTTTTATGTAAAGGATTTGCTGGTTTTAGATTTGCTCTTGGTGCAAATTATTGTGATGTAAATTTTTTTTGTTTTGTTTATACAAATGAAAGTTTGATCTTTTTCTGTCAAAGTAAATAATTATTTAATTTCCCTCTTGGGTCATCAGTGTTAGTCCTTTTTTTTGGGAGGTTTTAATATATAGTGGTCATGGTAGTGTGATATTAATATTAGTGTCAAGTGATCCAGAAATTTAAGAGTTTTGGGTTTGATTACTTGTATGATTACTTGTTTGATTACAAGTATGTACTTCACCTCAAAGTGCTAGAATTTTAAAGGTATTTTCAATGCCCATTTATACTAGTATTTAAAATAAATGTCATTATGTTAATACTTAAAAATATTAATTTTTTATTACTATTAAATATTGATAGTATTCACCCAGGTATAAGTGCCTGTGTTTTGGAAAATGCATTTATTCTTTCAGGAACACTCTTTGGTACCCTCACCTTCCAGAGTGTAAGATTCCCTAGTAGGAAGTCACTAAAACTCTGTATTCAAATATAAAATCTATCAAGCAAGAATTTTGTGACTGATTTTCTTGTAGCAGTTCAGCTCTTCAATTTGATATTTGTATACAAATGTGATGAACATACTGTAATTATTGTGGTTAGTTATTTTTTAATGCTGACTTTATATAGCTTAGAATTGATGTATTTTAAACATAAATGTTAGAGATGATACTTGATCATATTGGCAAATATTGTCACCAGCTACCATTGCTAATGTTCCTTTCCTTGTTGCAGGTCAATTTTTCTGTGGAAATAAATGTTGTGATGAAAAAGAGGGCTTAAAGAGTTGGGAAGTTAATTTTGGTTATATTGAGCATGGTGAAAAGAGAAATGCACTTGTTAAATTAAGTAAGTTGACTTTGGGGGTGCAGTAATTGATTGATTGCAGTAATAATTGATTCTTCCAAATTTGTCTTTAATTTGGAATTCAAAATACATGGACTATTTAAAATTCAATTAAAACTTTTGACATATCTTCCTGGAAGTGTTCTTTTTCCTCAGAGCTCCTCAAAGTCTCAAAGAACTTTTGAACCTAAAATTTTTATATTCTTAGCATTAGTGACATTTTGGTAACACAATTCTGATGTCAAATGTAAAGTGGTAATTTGTAAGAGTGAAGGTGTGTTCCCATTAAGTTGGGAATGTCACCCAAGTTACATGGTTAGGAGGTAGAGTATCAGAAAATGCAATGTAAAATCTCACATTAGCTGATTATTTAGCCATATTGTTGTGATAGGAATAATAAATAAATTCACATTCTTTGACATTGTCAAAAAAGAAAGGATTTAGGAGGGCATAATTGTTCTTGATTTCAGTCTTAAAAGCTTAGGGTTATACTCTAGAATACAGCAGTTTCCCTTAATATGCATGTTTTAGAATCTGTGATTCTTTTATTTTTTTTAAAGCTAGTCTTCATGTGTCAGCTGCTCCTCCCCCTTGTCATGTTAATGGTCTTTAGCCTTTTCTGGGTCTTAAGTAAATATGGCTTCAGAGTTTTCTGCCTACTTTGCCACTTTTGCCCATTCAAGAATGTCCCCCACGCTATACAAACTGGTTTCTTGAGTTCTTTCAGGAAGTGCTTATGAAGAGAAGTCAGTCAGTGTGGATTGAGATTAAAGCAAAAGAAGAGGTCGTAATTATGGAACTATTTGAAAAGCTCCTTTCCATTTGAAAGTTCTTAGAACACTTCAGAGGAAATGACTATACCTACATTATTATTATTAGATATCTTTAATGTGAGACATGTTAATGCTCCCTATAGAATACAGTTTTTAGAGTAAATTGACAATACATTTTTCTAAAGTAATATTAGAATATTTTCAATTCCTTAAGTATTCTAGTATCATTCTTATTATATATATGTATATGTATGCATTTTTGAGGTGGTGGGGATCAGATTGTTTTCTTCAGATTACTCTTATAGTAAAGGAATATAAAGAGAGAATTTATGATACTAAGAGTAGAGTAGCAGTGTAGTTATTCAAATTCAGTGATACAGTGGTGTCTTTTTTTTTTTTTTTTAGGGTTATGCCAAGAATGTTCCTTTAAATTAAATTTTCATCACAGGTAATATTGACTCTTAAAATGCCATTCTTAATGTTTAGTAATCTTATACCTAGTCATTTACCTGTACTGAATGTCTAAATGGAGACTTAGGTGGTTGATGATTGAATTGGCTGATTGTATGGGAAATCAGGCATTATTGTGTGACCACGTAACAGGCAATCGGAAGTTCACCATGCCCTATTCCAGGCAAGCAGTTTTAAATGTGAAGGAGTGGTAGACGGGTGTTAGAATTTTTAGTTTGGAGCCAATGTTCAAACACCTTAATATTCTTCTAAACTATATTGTAAAGCAGACTTCATAAAATGGTTCTTGTGTCTCATTTAAACAGTATTTTAACTGAAGTTTGTCATCTTATAAAGGCTTATACACCTCTATACTCATTTCAAATGTTAAAATCAGGTTCCTGTTGAATGAACTTAAATGTATCTGCCACATTGAGTGTATGGGAGTATCAAAGTACTGCAGTATGGAGTTTAGATAAGGTCATGGGCTTTGAAATCAGGCTTGGGTATTTTTCTCAGTTACTCCACTTACTAGGCTTCTTCTTGGGTAAGCTACTTAACCTCTATAAGATTTAATTTTACCTGTAAAAATAAAGATACTAAGATTATTGTGGGGAGTAAATGAAAGTGCATGTGAAGTGCTTGCCACAGTACCTGGCATGTGGTAAGTCAAGCATAGTCCTTGACACTGAAGATGTTCAAACAAAACCTGTGTGACTTACCATTGTTGTGGTGGTCAGCTTCATGTCCTGAATAATAATAGTTGAAAGTTCAGATTTTGCAACTTTATAAAATATATATATAAGCATATTAATTTTTAAATCAGCTTTTTATAAATGTACCTATTTAGCATTTTAGCTGTTAAAAATAAATTTTTAGTAATAATTTTTTTCCTAAAATTAGCAGGATTTTTTAGATTATTGGAATAGCCTAAATTTCTATATCCCCTTTCTATCAGTGACACTGAAAGAAACCAGAGATGTTTTTTGACCTTGACTTTTGAGCTTCATTTCAAAATTGAAATGATTCTTATGAAAGAGGCAAAAGTGGTTACTGCCTCAGAGGCATTTGGTATATGTACCTTAATTTGGGAAATTTGTAAAACAACGTTTTTGAAGTAGTCCTTTCTTTTGTCTCCGTCTTCCTTTCCACTCCAATTTCAACATTGTCACCTTTTCCTATTTAGTATTTCTTTTCTTAACCAGTTAAAATGAATTGCTTGCCAATGACAACACTATAAACCTGCCCTAGAAGAGATAAGGCTAAAGCAATAAGAATATAAATTATAAATGGTCTAAAGTTGATACATGAATTAACAGTAAGCCCCTTCCATCTTTATTCCATTATACTTTTACTATATTCCTTTATTTTAAGAGTGGAAATTTCGGCCGGGCGTGGTGGCTCACGCCTGTAATCCTAGCACTTTGGGAGGTCAAGGCGGGCGGATTGCTCAAGGTCAGGAGTTCGAAACCAGCCTGAGCGAGACCCCATCTCTACCAAAAATAGAAATAAATTAATTGACCAACTAAAAATATATATACAAAAAATTAGCCAGGCATGGTGACGCATGCCTGTAGTCCCAGCTACTCGGGAGGCTGAGGCAGTAGGATCACTGAGCCCCAGAGATTGAGGTTGCTGTGAGCCAGGCTGACGCCACGGCACTCACTCTAGCCTGGGCAACAAAGTGAGACTCTGTCTCAAAAAAAAGAGTGGAAATTTCTATTTATTGGTGGCTTAGAGCTGTTAGAGCAGTTTCTTCTTCTTCAGGCTTTTTCATCATGTAGGTGGATGTGAACTATGTGGAGGGAAATGAAATTTATTTTTGTAACTTTCTTTTAAATGGCTGAATGATAGAATATAGAAATGAGGAAATGAGTAAAACCACGATTTATGTTTACTAAGATTATTTATAGAACTCATACAAAATAATTCTTTGTGTTTAGACTTTATTATCTTAACTGAGTGGTCTTAATTATTATAGTAGTCTAAAATATGTATAGACTCATTTAAGGTTCCTTATGTAAATTATAATTCAAAAATAAGTACTTTATCTTTTTTTGTTGTTCTTTGGTTTTTATATTTTGTAAAGGTCAGTTGAAAAAATTAAATTTAGGTTTATATTGTTTAACCTAAAGGAGAAAAGAAATCAAGTCCAAAAAAAGAAAGGATAAAAGCAAAAAAGATTGTGAAGAGTCATCACATAAAAAATCCGGATTATCTTCTGCAGAAGAAGCCTCTAAGAAAAAGGATAAAGGTAAAAGGAAATTAAGATATGGTATCTACTCACATTTCTGAACATGAATTATTATCTGCCATATCTCAAATATATGGTGAATGCATTTAGAATTTTGTTTTATGGTAGTTGAAAGGAAACTGGCTAAGAATTTAGATATGAATTCACAGTGACAGGAGTTTTAAGAATAGGGTTGGTTTTGATTCATTTTGGTAGATAGTATAATACCACAAACAGCATTCTAATTCCTGGCTCTGTCACCTACAGACTTGTTACCTTGGACAAGTCACTGAGCTTCTTGGGTTTTATTTTTCTCATGTGTGTAGGAGTAATGTGAATATCTGACCTCCATACTGGTCTAGTTTATTGTGGAGGATCAAATAAGAATATGAAAGACACTTTGAATATTGTAAAATAGTGTATAATCTGTAAGTATAAAATTATAACAGTGTGAGTTTGGTTATAATGGTCTGTGTGTGTGTGTGTGTTTTTTTACTAGTTTATGAGCTGCTTGAAATGAGAGATTGGCATATACCTAGCATGGTGCTGTACACATATATACTCAGTAAATAACCACTTCAGTACGAGCGTCGACTATAGTCAACAGCCGTGATATGCCTCTTCTAATTTTTCATTTATCAAAATGAAATTGTGAACATTTAAAAATAACATAATGAAAACATATATGTATGTGTTACCTATTCTTACTTACATTACAAGTAAAGCTGCCTGTAAAGTAAAACAAGCTTTCAGTGCTTTAAAGCTTTCCTCATCACACAAGAGCAAAACGGATTCGTTGTCAATGCACAGCACAAACTGTTATGCCGACTATGAGTGCCAGCTGTAGGCAATGTTTCGCGTCTGGTGAGCGCTGTACCAAAGTGATTTAAATTCAAATCTGTCAGTCAACTGCTTACTTTTTCCTCACAAGTCCTTTAGCTTTGTAAGCCTCAGTTTCTTCATGGGTGAATTGGTCATGATTATAGTGCCTACCTTAAAGGACTGTTCAGAAGTTGAAATGAGATAATTCATTAAGCAGTTTGCATAGTATCTGGTATATAATTAGCTATTAATGTTATGAAGGTTACTTCTAGTTGCTTTTCTAGCCCATAATTGAGTCAAATCGGCTTTAATTTACAGTGACTCAGACTTAAACTAGGTACATAATTGAATTAGATTCAAGCCAATGTTATATAATAGTTGGACAGGAGAGGGCTCTCTTGTTCCAGCTATGAATATCATTAGTTATGTTGCATTCTTACATTCATTTTTTCCTTCTTGCATATCATGATATATTCATTATGTAGATAAAGTTAAAATATTCAAGTATGTAATATCACCAAGTTATAGACTTGGTAAAATTGATAGATGGTGAGAGGAAGATAGTGTTATTCTGTTGTTTATTGAGAAATGGCATTTGGAGCAGAATGCCTTTTTTGTCTCTATCTTAATCATTTCCTACTCTAAGGCAAATTTTTAACTAATAAATATGAAAATCTCATTTGAGTTTTTAAGATTTATTTATCCTTATATGCTAGTAAAATATTTAATGTATCATTTGGAATTTTGTTGTATTCATTATCATATTATATAATGTTATATTCGTGTCATAACTATGATACCATGTTAATCACTGCACATTCCAAGTTAAAGAAGAAATAATCTTTACTTTGTAGAAAGATATTCAGTACCTTCAAACCAGAGGATAGGTAGCTGAATACTCAGGCTCATGGTTGGGGTTGGACTCTTCAGATTATACATGTACATGTATGTGATCTTCCTTATAGATGTTTTTCCTTTAGTGTTCCATATTTCAGTAGATGACACCTATGTCAACCTAAAAACTAATACTAGAAATCTGGGAATTATCCTTGATATTTTCTTTTCCCTCATTATTTATGTTTGTCACCAAATCCTAATAGTTTCATCCCCAGAATATATATTTCAGGTTCTCTCCACCCTACTACAAACCCCCATATTTTCTCAACTAGGCTATTGCTATATTCTCCTTACTGGTTCCCCTACTGTCTAGCCATCCCACTTCCTCTCCCCTTAATTCATTAAACCAATGGTTTCCTATTGTCCTTAGGATGACAGCCAAAATCCTGGACCAGAGTCAAAAGGCTGCCCTATATGATCTGGCTCCTGTAGCATAAAAAACCTTGAAGGCTTGTTTTTCATCACTCTTTACCCCACTTTCACCCCACCTGCATAGCCTTTCAGTTTCAAAAAATGCCTTGCTTTTTTTCATTGTAGGGGTTACAGGGATGCTGCTTTCTCTCTCCCTAAAACTCTGAGTCCCATCCCAGCTCTTCCTTTGGGTCTAAGTTTAAATGCCATTTTCCAGGGATCCTTTCCTGATTTCATCCCCTACCTTAAATCTAAGTTAGGACTCTCAACTGTAATGTTGTCACAGTCCCTGGGACTTTCTTTCCCCCAAGGGAAGCAGGGATTCTACCTGCTTTGTTCATTGCTATATCACCAGCACCCCACTAGCTCGTGTTCAGTGTAAATAATAAAGAATGAGAGAATGAAAGACTCTGAAGATTGTTTCAGAGCAACTTCAGGAGTAGAAAACCAAAATAGAATAAATTGTGACCTCTCTTTCTTATTTATTCTCTATTCAGAGCACCTTTGAGAGCGGTCTCCAGAATATAGCTTTCTTCCAACTTCTATGATATAAAACAGAAAATAATAAAATTTTCACAAACTTTTAGGAAAACCATGTGGAACTCTTTAATATTGTCTTACCTGGGGTCATCTGGAACTAGCTTGATCTTGATGTGCTTCTTTCTTGCCAGACCACGTTAATTTGAACCAGACTTGAATAGTAATAAATGCTTAACATCTCAGCTGTATTTGGATTGTTAATACTCCTCAAAACAACTTACTTTCTTGATTTTATTCCTATCTTTCTGGCTTCTCCTCAGCTTCTTTTAACTACAGTTCCTTCTGGTCTTACCTGGAATTCCTCAGGGCTCTTCCCTAGACTTCTCTAATTCCTCTCTCTTCTCCCTGTGATACCATCTATTCCCGTAACTTCAGTTTACCATCATGGAAAATGTTAAATAAGTAATGGGTGGATGAACAATGGATGGCTAGATGGCTGAACAAATGGATAGAGAGAAAAAGTAAGAAATATCAACAGCTTGACTTTGAGGACCAGTCTGCTTTGGCTGGTATGGACAGAACAAGATACTTAGGTAGACTTTCTTGGCAGAAAGGTCAAGATCTTATCCCTGTCACCATTACCCTTTTTCCAAAGGCCACCTCATCTGTCAGGTTTCAGCTTAGCTCAGTTCCTTAAGAAGGCCTTTCCTGACACCCTTCACCCCATTTCTCCAAACAAGATTAGGTCCCTGTTGCACATTCCAATAGCACCTGTACTTCTTTAAAAATATGTAGTACCCTTGGAATAATTTGTTTATTTTCTGTGTGAGAAGGGACTGTGTGTCATGTTTAATTCATTATCTCTAATTCCTAACAGTGTTTGCTCCACATAGTAGGCATTCAATAAATATTAGGTGAGTGAGTGAATCAGTGAACTGAACCACATTTTCTCAAAATAGAAAGGAACATCAGAGATCAGTCCTAGACTCATGATTGAAAAGATAGTCTAGTTTTGCTTTTCAAAGTATGGTCGTTTGGCCAGCAGCAGTGTCACCACTTGGAACTTGTTAGAAACATACAACCTCAGACCTCTCCGGATCTGCTAATAAGTTCCCAGGGTTATTCATATACATAATAAAGTTTGAGAGAAGCACTGCTCCATATCATGTGGTGGTTCTGTTTTTGCTTCAACACTTCCAGGGGAAAGAAGCCCACTACTACCCGAAGTAATCCTTTACATTTTCAGCTAGTTATAGTTGCTAGCAGTTTCTCTTAACGTTTAGCCCAAAGCTATGACTTCCTCCATTTGGTTCTGATTTTGTCCTTAGGCCTCCAGAATAAGCCTAACCTCTTTTTTACCTACAGACTTTGGATATTTGGAAGCAGATAGTATGTTCCTCATATTAGAGGATGACAGGGAGGAATACATTGCTTGTGCTTTTACCCTGTAGTTCTCACACCCTCTTTACTGGCCTAAAGGGGCCATAAGCTTTGCTTTATGAGACTTCCTATGTAGGGACATTGGAAGAATTGTTACTCTGTTACTTGGCCTTTTTTTTTTTTATATAAACTTTTTCAGCATTCAGAAATATTTTCCCTGAGATCTTATGGCAGGAGGCTCCATATGGTGGTGATTTTTTAAAAATTACACTAATAGATCTTCAGTGCTTTTCTCTTTCTATTTCTCTCACTGGATAAGCATTATAAAGCTGAGAATTTTTGTTTTATGACATAATTGTATGTGTTATTATCAGTTACTGAGAACTAATTCTCACCTGTATATGACCTTGGAAAAAATATTATGAAAAACAAGTATGTATTTGGAAACTGCTTTCAGATATTGAACATCTCCATAGGTAAAAAAAATTGTTGTTTATATTACAGCTAATCTATGTGGGATTTAGCAATATGAGATGTTTTTACAGGTACTCATTACTTTTTAAAAAATTTTATGCTAGCTGTTCCAGGCTATATGAGAGCATAAGATATGACCTCTCCCAAAAAGAACCTAATATTTTAATTAGTTTAAGGTAAGAAATGTGAAATATTAGAAAACAGTGAAGTGCTTATCGGTAGGACTATAAGCAAAGTAGAGTATTGGGAAGAATTCTGGTTATAGCTACAACTGTTGCACCACCCCAAGATGATACTTAATCAAAGAATGCTGTTTCCTTTTCAGGACATTCATCCTCAAAGAAATCAGAAGATTATGTAAATAGTACGTATCAAATATTTCTTTATTTTTATTTTATTCTGTATTTTTATTTGATAAAAATATGTAGAATTAAGGTATTTGCAATTTGGATATCCCATGAATTATATTTTCCTCTGATGTGAATTATTTTTTGGTTTTGTGAATTATTTTTACGTATGAAAAAAATCATAGAAAAAAATACCAAAAGTGTATGATTTATTCATACACATTGCAAGTAAGTATTTGCAATGACTTATAAAAATATGTACAATAAGATAAGGTTTTTTTAAGGTAAAAAAATCAGAATAATGGGAAAATAAGGTAGAATAGCAATGTAAAGCTGGAGGTAAAATTGATATAGATATATGTATACCAAAAAGTCCTTAATAAATTGCAAAATTATATTACAAATTTGTCACTATTCTTCCAAACAACCAAATCAAAGAGTGAAACCATCAGTATAATGATTAATTGTACCCATAAGATAATAAAGAAAACTTAGCAGGTGTTCAACTTTTTCCTAGCAGTTTTAAGAGAAGATTCTCCCATGGATTTATTAAAGGATATGTCCATTTGTGATATAACAAACAGTAGCTTTTAATTTCAACAGTTATACAATGTTGAATTTCTTAAAGACTTATGATAGGCTCAGGGCCTAACAATAAAGTGTCGTTCAGTAGCATATCTGATTCATTTTATAATATCTGGACTTATAGAAATTTAGAAATTTGAGACTTGTAGGCTTACTTGGATATTTATAAACTTAATTAAAAATTTTTTCTATGATGTTAAAGTAATGAATATTTATTGTGGCAAACTCAGGAAAAAGTTTGATAATTATTCCAAATCCCACAACTCACATATAAACATTATTGACATTTTAGTATAATTTTTAACAAGAAATATTAAGTATTCAATAGTCAGAAATATTGTGCTGAGAAAAATAGAAATTTTAGGATGTTTGTTTAAAAATTTAATGAGAGGGAGGTGTCGGTAGAGGTATTCTTCTAGTTTAGGAATACAGTATGTTCCTTGTAAATTATTTTGTTTGTGCCAGCTTTGTTTTCAGCATACTATGTAAGTGTCCTAAAGCACTGACACTTTCTTTCTCCCTGTATGAAACCCAATTTATCAGGAACTCCTTTCTGAGATGTAGTCTACTGACAGTTTCTAGAACATAGCCAGGCATATGACTGATGGACTAATGTTATCTCAGGGTGAAATAGTAGATATATACTGAAATAAAAGTGTACACAGGCTAAAGTGGAAAAGTTTATTTTACTTTTTGTCTATTTCCAACAATGAGAGGTGTGGATGCTTATTTAATGTAGAAAAAAAAATTTCCCTCCTTTCAGTTCTAGTTTTTCATTATTAAAAAATCTTTTTGAGGTAAGTCTTGACTCACTGATTTATGTTCATTCTTTTATTTCCTCTTCCTTCCTTCCTTCTCCATCTCACTGTCCTTCTGTCAGCCCTCTGAATCATCCCCCACCTCCTAGAAATAGCTCTAACTCTCTCTCATCTTTTACCACTCCTCAGCTAGGTCAAACTTTTAGTGGTAGGAATGGAGTAAATACCCAATCTGAAGAACCTCTAGCTTAGTTTGGCCCTTAAAGAAACAAATTATCCACCTCAAGGTGACCTGCTATCGGTTTGGCAACTAGAAAGCCATTTACTATAACAAGCAGGAGACGTGCACATTGTTATGATATGTTATATTATGATATGCCAACCCCAGGTACCCTCTCAGATGGTTAGTCATCTGTCTTAGATGGTATTGGCAATTTCAGAACTCACATTTTGCTATTTCTATCTTTTATTTCCATTTGAGTAATATATACTTACCCTCTTAACTGATCTAACATATAGATTATTAAAACCAAATCCATGGAGAGAAGTTCAATTTCTATGGGGAAAAAAGCATTTTGACTGTATTTGTTGATTGTCTACTCTGTTGTCTGCAGTGGCAAGTGCTTTAGATGTATTACCTCATTTAATCTTAATAATGGGCATATAATATTTCTATTTTGTAGATGAGAAAACCAAGATCTAGAGAATTTTTAAATGAAGAAGCTCAGTTTTTAAAATTATATATATTTAAGGTGTACAACTTTATGATTTGCTACCCTCTTACCAAATTTTAAGTATACAGTATGGTACTGTTACCTGTAGTCAACATGCTATACATTAGTTGTTCTAAGAACCAGAGAATTTAAGTAAAGACTCCAAGGTCAAATAGATAATGACAGAGCTGGGATTAAACATAAGTTTATAATTCCAAAGACTATGCCATTTTACCTAGTATCATCAAAAACTGTCAGTGAATCAAATGTAAGTTTATGCCCAAATTTTGGCAAATGCATTCTATAGATCCATATTAAATGATTTGATCCATATCTCCCTTGTATCTGTAAAATGGGTATAAAGAGATCTACTTTGTTGAATCATTATCAGAATCCAATGAGAAAAATACATGTGTAAAGTATGTGCCTGACACAGAGTAAGTCCTTGATAACCTGTAGCTGTTGTTGTTGTGATGTCAGAGAAAAGAAAAATACCAGATGTTATACAGATTCTACATTTGTTCTCTAGAATTGATCAGATCATAAGTGAAGTCTAAAAATCTGACTTGTTCATTTGTTATGAATATTGGAGACATTTACCATTTCTTTAGGAGGGTAAAATATTAGGTATCATATAATATCCACAGAAACCAAGAAGGTAGATTGTTTTCATAATTCAAAGCACATAGGGAAAATTGTGTGCAGTTTTAGGTGCCACATTCTAAAGGGAACGTTGAAAACTTGAGCAGGTCAAGAAGAGAACAACCACGGTGTTGAGAGAACTTGCAGTTGTGTGGTAGGAGAAATGTTGGAGGAACTGCAGATGTTCAGCATGGAGAAAAGTGACAGGGTGGGAGGGGAAGAAGTGAGGAGGTGGACCTGGTAACTACTATATGTATATTTACAAGGCTGCTACTATGCAGAAGACTTATTTTTGGTGACTCTGGTTGGCAGAACTAAAAGTCTATGGATAAAATTGTCTGAAGACAGATTTTTGCCTCAATTAAAGGAAAAGCTTGTCACTTAGAACTGTCTCACGAAACAATGGAGGAATGGACTGCCTCAGGAAATAGTGAGTGTTCAAGCATAGATTGGATGGCCACTTATTATTGGAGGTTTGCAATGAAAGATTCATTCATTGGATAAGGATTGGATTAAATGACCTCCAAGTTCCTGTTCTACTCAAGAGTCAGTGACTTAAATTTTGATTCCCATTTGCCAGTAATTACTGCATATATTTGATACTTATGCTCTAAGAGCATCCTTTTTTATTGCCTATTCCACTTATTTCTTTAGCAATACCCCTCCCACCTTGGTAGGTCATACCAGTTATTTGTAGTGGCTGTCACCCTCAGGGAACCGGGACACTATAGATGCATAGTGTTTAAGGGACTTGAAAGGGCACTAGTCCAGTCTTGTAGACTTGATTCTCTAAGGATATTTGGCCACTTTTATAGTGGGTACTCTTTCAAAGAGAGTTATTTTATAATGTTATTCTAAACTGATTTGATTTGCTTAATAAAACTGGTATTAGAAACTAATATAGGAAAGCTGACATATGGGAAATACTCTTGGGAGGGAGCAAGAGAACAGGTGGTTTTAAGACCTTTTGAAATTAGCTGCCTGCTTTTAAAGGTTTTGTTCTCTGACATCATTAACATAGTAACACCATGGTAATAACTTTATTGGGCGTAATTAGTTTTTATGTTCTTTATTTCTTGTGAGTTTTCATACAAAAAATATTGAGGACTTTTTATTTTTTTCTCACATTATTAATTTGGGACACTGGCAGTTCTAGTGATGGCTGTCATTGAGCAGGAATCTTGTTCCCAAGACTTCATAATTTTATCATCATTTGTATGTAGATCATTAAAAATACAAAACACCCTCCCCCCCCCCCCTTTTGCCATTTTCGTTAGAATTGGTGCCAGAATAGATTCAGTTAGGACCAAAGTTCAGACATACAATGTTGATTCAAGGATCAAAGTCCAACAGATAAAAGGCTAGAACCACTGTGGCAAATCAATGCTGTTTTATTTTTGTGTTGTGTTTAACTAAGGGACATTCTGTATTGACAGGCCACATTTGGGTCAGTTCTTTTTTAGATTAATGGTTATTATAGGAAAGGAACCGTTTGTTAATGTAATTATTACTTATTTGTGGAATATAGTGTTATTGACTGATAACACATTTTTCAGTATTTCATAATTTTTACTTGACTAATATAAGGTGCTTCATTTGAAACATGTCTGTTTTGTTATGTTTTCTTAATGAAGGTATCTTTATTGTTTTTACTAATTTTGAAGGTAACATATGCTCATCATTTCAAATACAAACCATTTGGAAATTGGTTAGTTCTTACAAACTTATAATACATATATAAATTTATATGTATGTATATAACATATATATAATGTTTTTTAACCTAAATCAGATTATACTATGCATACTTTCTGTAACTTTTTTGAATTTGATATAGAAAAGACATTTTTCCATGGCAGTACATATAGATATGCTAAGGTTTTTTAAACAGCGGTATAGTATTTATGTAGCCAATCCTTAATTCCTAATTGGTGGCGATTAGGATGTTTTCTTTGGTTATTGTTGTTATACAATGTGCATGTTTGTGCCTATATATCTGAGGTGCTTTTTTATCATAATAATCAAATTCCTAAAAGCAGCATTGCTGGTCACAGGATATTTGTTTTAAAGTGATCTATAATATATTGCCAGATCTTCCTCAAGGAAAAGGTTTACAGAATTTTCATTCCCAACAATGTATGAGAATGCCTGTTTTTTCACTGAAACAGGCTTCTTTCAATTACGTAATCAGCATTAGTTTTTTTTAAAAAGTATGACTTTAGAAAAAAATTTTTTTTTACTTTTTAAAAATTATTTAACTAGCTGGTCTTACATACTAGCTCAGTTCTTGAGGTGTTGATCCTAATGTAAATATGGTCTCTATAAAAATCTTAACTTGCATATCTTTTGGATAACCAAGAAAAAGAAGAAACTAAATCAAAGACATTTATATTATAAGAGATAATTCCCTTATAAAGGGTTAATATTGGAATTGCTACTTTAATTCAGTGAAACTTAGAGGAGTTTTTCATGAGATTTTAAATATTTGGCCTTTTTGCTGAGACTGTGGTATCTCCTAGCTTATTTATTTATTTTTTAAAAGAATTTATTGTATCTGGGAGAGTGAATTAGATTTCTAGAGAGCCATACAAGTTGAAGCTAAATTGCAGTTAATTTAATTGTATTGGTGAGTAGTTCAAAATGTATTTTAAATATAACACATTTTTTAAAACATCTTTTCTTAAATGAACAGCAAACTCTGATGAGGAAGAAAGTACTTCAGAATCTGAACTTTGGAAGGGTCCACTACCAGAGACAGATGAAAAATCACAGTAAGTGCTGATATTACTAGATAATACATACCCTTTAAATCAGTTTAGGAAGTTATAACCACAGCCATTCTTGATAACAGTTGAAAAAATATAACATCATGAATGTCTGTTAAATGCCAAGTTCTACCTAGTCTGGTGAGATCAGAGTTTATTCCCAGCCATTGTTTGTGGTCGTAAACAGCCAACGTGTCCAACATCTTCCTGGTAAATAAATCTTTCATCAGCTCACCTTAACAGATGACCCTCTGGTCCTTGCTTGGATTTCTTCAGAGAGGGCTGTTTACTATCTTCCAGAGTCACCTGTTCCAGGATACTGCGATTATCATAAACCCATACAGAGGTGCCCCTTGATGATTTATGCAGGTTTAGAAGTGTACCTGCAACACCTACCTTTAGATAGCTTAGAGCAGTTATTGTTCCCTGCTATGGGTTGGAAAAAGAAGCACTGTCTAGGTATGGGCTGGAATACTATCAGCTCTTGTCATATACTGGAATTTTCACCACTTGAATTTCTCTGTTAAAAGTGGATAAAATATACTCCATAGAGTTTATTGTGAAGATTAAATAAAGAAGGTAAAGCACCTAGTATAATACCTATAAATATAGTAAGTGCTCAATAAATTTTAGTCCCATTTTGTTGGTCCTTAGGCATAATGGTTCATAATAGAGATACACCTGTTGAATCAATTATAATTCATTAATTTAAAATGTTTATAAAACATTTCACTATATGATCACAGTATAGTAGAATTCAGATGTGTTGGAAAGAGTTTTTTTGTTTTTTGGGGTTTTTTTTTGATAAGCAAGATTACTTTTTCTGTGACTTTAACCTTTTTTCCAGCACAGTAAAGAATTCACAAAAGTGTTATTATTATAGATCAGACTATAAAAAAGCTACTGCTGGAAATAAAATATTGCTGTCCAATTAAAACTACTAACTAAATTTCCCAGTCATTTATTGAGCACTTCCCCTTGAAGAGCTTTATAGCTGAGAGTGACAAAACAGGTCATAGAGTCAACTCACACCTTAGGTAATAAAGATACTTGAGCAAATCCTATGAAGGCTTTCATAATACAAAACTTTATGTATTCAACTTCTTTGACATTGATCAAGTACTGAGCATCCTAGTCCATAAAGAAATTTACACAATTTCATATATTTAAGTTCTCATGCTAGGAAAAAGAAACAGTAGCATGGGGAATCCTAAATTACAGATAATTCCTTGATCAACTTTATTTGATTCTGTAATTAATTTTTTCCTTGAATTTGAATATGGTTGTGATGGCTTTATGCATTCTCGATTATTTAAAATCAAATGTGATGGAGTCTTTTTATGAATATCTGACCTAAAATAACATTTTCTAAAGAGACTGGTAGGCCAGTTTTTACTATCCTCCTTGATCCCTGTTCCCAAAAAGAAGAAAAGCAATTGTATTCATTTAATTCTCATAATAACTCTATGAGGGAAGGTAATTATCTCCATTTTACGGATAAGGAAATGGAGTTCAGAGAAGTTAAGTAACTTGCGCACACTGCTAATAATAATGACAGAGCTAGGACTTAGTACTATGTCACTTGAAAGCCTGTACTGTTTCCACTGTATCACTCTGGCTCCTAGCTCTAACATTTACTTAGTACTTTACAATTTTATAAGTATTTTGATATGTTATCTAATTTAATCTCTCCTTTCAAAGAGTTCTATGTTTTAGATATAATCTTTACTGCCGTAAATACATAGTATATTTACTATTCTCAGAGTAATAAAAAACTGCAACCTAAGTATATTTTCCCCATTCCTGAGAGTAAGACTTATATTTTTTCTTAAAAATAGTTTTTTTTTTCATTTATTTCTTGAGCAGACTGTAGTTTGAAATAAGAATGATAGAAGGTATAGCGTAAACCAAAAAAGTAGAGAAAAACAATGATATCTCACAAAGTACTTCAAAGCAAAATCTTAGGTAATACATTTAGGGAGAGGTGCCAACATATGAAGTATTTTAATTTTAATCAATTTAGGAATAGTTATGGTTATTCTAAAAACTAAGAATTATTTGATGGCTGAATCATGGGATATATTGATAAATGGAGAAATCAGCCAATATGTTGAATTAAAGTATTTTACTAATCTCATATAATGTGTCACCCAGTAATTTTTTTACTCTGGATTTTTATTCAATATGTATATTTTTCTTTTCAATAGGGAAGAAGAATTTGATGAGTATTTTCAGGATTTGTTTCTGTGAGATGGAAGAGAGAAGATGACATTCCTTAATGTGAAATTACATTTTGAAACTTTATTAAAATTTTATCTACAAGTTGCAGCTTGAGTGGTTTGTCTCTGGAAATAAAAATCCTGGTACTCTCAGGATGTCAGATGCTTTTAAGTTCATTAGTTCTATTGAGACATTTTCCCTGTCTTTATATATCTTTTCCATTGCTTTTCTACAACTCTATTTCATTCGTAGCTTCCAAACTCCTGGGCTCAAGCTATCCTGCTGCCTCAGCCTCCTGAGTAGCTGGAACTACAGGCATGCACCACCATGCCCGGCTATATATTTTTAGTTGGCCAGTTAATTTCTTTCTATTTTTAGTAGAGACGGAGTCTTGCTCTTGATCAGGCTGATTTCCAACTCCTGACCTTGAGCAATCCACCCACCTCGGCCTCCCAGAGTGCTAGGATTACAGTTATTATTCATTAATTCCACAAATATTTATCAGGCTTCTATTATGTGTGAGGCATTGTGCTGGGCATTGCTATAAAGGAACTATCTAGGAATAATTATGCAATCTTTTCTGAACTTCATTTGGAAAATAGTAAATCAGTGTAGGATTTATCAGTGTTAAACCTTGGTTGATAGTCCCCTCATTTCTGGAAGAAATATTGTATTTTCATCTTGCTGCTATATAGTGAATATAAAGGGATCTTGATTTCTGAGGAAAGTGTTTAAAGTGAAGTGTCCAGCAGCAACATTGATATTAGTAGTTGAATATATGTAATTAAACATTCTTATGATAAAAATATATTAATAGTATAATGGTCATCAGAAAATAAAATTTCTGCAAAATTAAATGATAACTAGGAAGAATATCTAAAGACCCTTTAAAAATAAATGCAAACATTTGGTATTACAAGTATGGTTTATAACATCAAGCTCATGTATAAATGTCAGTCATTATATAAAATCATAATCCATTCATACACAGTAGCAGATAATGGGAGTCATATTTTTAAGGAGTCTTTGTAAAGACCTCTAGGGTAATGAGTTTAAAAATCAATTTTTGTACATTCCTATCTCAAACTTTGCTAGAGTGTGGTCAGTTGGTCTGGGAGGTTTGAAGTTATGCTTTCTTATACTTGGCTCTTAGGCAAAGTTTATATATTTGGCAGACCTTCAGTGGTGGGACCTCTCTACCCTCAATTCCATTTCTGATGACTGAGGAGGGGGAGTTGTTTGAGCTGACTGATATTTTGGGGTCCGGAATTAGTAGTGATCCTAAATGTAGAGTTTCAAAATTATTTTAAGCAGTGGAAATGAGGGAGTACATGCATCACTTGCCAAAGGTGATGACTTTTATAACACTCATTTGAGTATATATATGACACTGAGTCATTCTTTATTTATACCTATTTGTGGTAACGTTTATTCAAAATATTCATATTTACTGAGTGCCTACCTTGTGCCAGGTACTACTCTAGGTGACAAGATAGAGCTGTGAACAAAACAGACAAAAAAGACAAAAATCCTTTATGAACTGAACGTTCTAATATGAGAGAAGCAATCTTATGATTCTGAGTACCTCACTTGTAAAAATATAACAAATGGTGATTTATTTCTTAGCTGCTCAAAGTTGTACATTCTCTATTATAAAACATATTTGAGGTTCATAGATCTTCAATACAATTCATTATAATTTACATATCTTTTGACAGAAGAACCTATGGCAATATATATGGTATAACTTACTATTCTGTTTTCTAAATTTGTCCATAAATATAGATAAATAAAGGAAGAAATCTTAAATTTCTTTGATATTCAGACAGACTTATACCATGTAGTAGAAATAGTTGCTTGTCCTTAATTTCTCTTGACAACTCAATATTTAGAAGCTTGGTAGATCTATTAATCATTTTTTAAAAGTAATCTCAGCTGAACTCATTCCAAACTGCTTTTGATAAAGAAGTTCTTGTATAATCAAATCACATCTTTCTCTATGATGCATAATATATATTAGCTGATTTAATTTGCATCAGGGTTATCCAGTTAGTATCTCATAAATTGATCATTCTTTCAATGAGAAGAATAGTTCTGAACATTTAAAAAAATTCTTAGTTACATGTAAAATGATTGATTTCAGACTTTGAAGGGGGAGCACAAGACAAGGACATAGTTTTAATAAACTGTCAAAAAATGGTATGGTCTTCATCAATCCATTATCAAGGATAAAAAATAGAGGAAAAAGATAAGCATTTCAGATAGAATAACATTTGACATCCTTTTTTCTTTGTTTTCTTATACTGTATTTACATACATTACACATTCTATACTGTGTTTACTCTTATAGTAAGACGTGTTGATGAGAGATTTTTAGTTCTGGAAGTGGTTTGAGGCATGAATCATAAATGTTGTAGAACATATTGTGCACACACACACCCATGCAGTTCACATGTTGAAGTCTCAATCCCCAGTACTTCAGAATGTGAATGTATTTGGAGAGAAGGCCGTTAAGTATACAATTAAGATTAAAAAGAGGTCACATGGGTGGGCCCTAATCCAATACTGTGTCCATATAAGAAAAAGAGATTAGAACACAGATGCACACACAGGGAAGACCCCATGTGAAGACTGGGGAGAGGATGCATTTCTACAAACCAAGGAGGGAAGCCTCACAAGAAACCAACCCTGCTAACTTCTTGATCTTGAACTTCTAGCCTCCAGAACTGTGAGAAAATAAATGTATGTTAGTTAAGCCATCCAGTTTGTGTTACTTTATTAGGCAGCCTTAACAAATAAATATAATTAATAACTTTTTAAAAAGCGTTTGTGAGTAGTTTCAGGGTTGCATTTTTTTGTCTTGCTTTGCACTTTGTTGAGCTTTATTTTGCCTTTATGGTTTTCAGACTAGCAATATATATTTTCTTGATAGTCACAGGGTAGTTTTTCTGAAGATCCTCTTACTGTTATTTGATGTTTGCTGAATGAAATTTGCTGAAGTTCTTTTGAGTGTTTTCTGGTTTTCTTCAAGAGTAAAATGACATTTGAAATTTAAACCAGTTGGATTATATTACAACATTAAACATGTTTTGGACTTTTTGTCATCACCACCACCTCCTGAATCTTCAGCAGCTACTAAAATCAAGAAAAACAATATTATTAGGAGTCAGTGGATATTTAGTGTTCTTAATTCTGACACTCCCATGATGTTAGTGTCAACTTTGTAGCCTAATTAGTAATTTTAACCTATAGTAAATACTAAGGGTTTGATCATTTTAAAACTTGAATTCATAGTCAAAATGGATCCATTTAAAATATAATAAATGGTTAGCCAATTAATATCTCAGTTTCTGAGACTATGCAGTCTGGGAATCTGAACTTGATACACAAAGCTTGATGCCTGGGAATATAAAATAATGTTTTTAGCCCACAACAAATTCTCCTGTAATAGGAAAAAGATTAAGAAGTAAAATTTTGTGCAAATGAAGTATAGAAAATCCAATATACTGGATCCTAAATGAAAATATCAGGAGCCACTTAAAGGACTTGATAGTCTCTTCATCATAAAATTGAGATAAATGTTTAATTTAATAGTACCAAGAAATACCCTTGCTTTTCACATGCTCAGTAAAATTCACTTATTAATTTATTTCTGAAATGCAAATTAGATCTTACCACTTTCTTGTTTAAATCCTTCTCATGACTTTGAAAGGCTGAAATCCTTAGCTAGGCCGTCAAGGCAATGCGCTGACAGCTGCCTGCACTACCGGCTACTTTGCCCTCCTTGCTCTCCAGATTCCAGCTACACCAGCTTTTAAATTCTTCAGTTGTACCAAGCTCATTTACACTTCAAGCCTTTGTGCATATTCTGTCTTTTCCCTTTCCCCCCACCCCTCTTCCTTTCTGTTCTTAGCTAAAGCTTACTGTCTTAAGACTAGCTTAAAGCATCCTTCTTCAGAAAAGCCTTCCCCATGCCCCATATTCACACCTGTGTTTTCTCTGAAAGCTCACAGGTACACCATCAATTGTGTATTGATTGTTTATGTAATGTTTTGTTGTTGTTGTTGTTTGTTTTTGTTTTTGAGGCAAAGTCTCACTCTGTTGCCCAGGCAGGAGTGCAATGGTCTGATCATAGATCACTGCAGCCTCAAGCTTCTGGGCTCAAGTGATCCTCCTGCCTCAGCCTCCTGAGTAGCTGGGACTACAGATGCATGCTACCACCCCCAGCTAACTTTTTTAATTTATTTTGTATAAATGGGGTCTGGCTATTTTGTTCAGGCTAGTCTTGAACTTCTGGCCTCAAACAGTCTTCCTGCCTTGGCCTCCCAAAGTGCTAGGATTATGGGTGTGAGCCCCCACACCTGGCTGATATTGACTGTTTAATGTCTAGCTCTCCCCACCAGAGGGTAAGTTCCTCAAGATAAGGACCCTATCTTGCCCCATGGCCTGCCTATCTCAGGGCCTTGTACAGAATAGATACCCAATAAATGCATAAATGAATGGATTCAAGAAGTAAGAAACTCCTGTTTTTATTCTGTTGAAGGACATCCTTAACTTTGTTAAGAAAAATACTTTCTCCCCCTTTGAATTGTTCAAAAATACCACTAAACACACAATAGAACCATCTAAAAGGAATGTATCATCTTTCAAAGCCTTTCCACAGAGATTATTTCTTTGTTAAACAATAACAATTCCTTACAAAACCTTTAGAGTCCTACACTTTCAAGACAGAAATTAGCATTCCACTTTCAAGATGACGTTTGGGTCATTAGGTGAACCAATAGCTGATCCTGAGCATTTTAACAGAGGCTTTCTGAAAACAATGTTAAACCTCATAGAGTGACTTTAGAAGTAGAAATTTCATGCCAGAAAAATTAGCACCGTGTGGAGGCATTTGGGAGACAGGAAAACAGATCTTGGAGTATGCTTTCCGTCACCCCATTCAGCTGTCCAGCTTTACCGTACATGTAGGGCTTCCTTAAGTTGACCTGTAAAACCTTCTCATATATGAAGAAGAATATTACGCTCAGAGTGGTAAGCTCAGAGTGTTTAAGCAAGTTGCCCAGTCTCACAGCTGATGCATAATGTCAGGACTAAAACTGTTTTCTCACCTAACCCTGACCCCATAGATTCTGTGGTTTTCATATTATTCCTAAA